ATATATGTATATATTAAACAAACAAACAAACAAAAAACTTTGTCACCACTGTGTTTGCCAAAAGAAGGCAGAGCACAAAATAAAAACTTCCTGCTGAAACCTGGCTGGTGTTGGTCAGTGGTCAGAGTGTCAGTCTATGGATCGAAGGGTCTCAGGCTTGATTCCTAGTCAAGGGCACGTGCCTCGGTTGCAGGTTTGATCCACGGCCCTGGTCGGGGTTTTTTGCAGGAGGCAACCAATCGATGTGGCTCTCTCACATCCCTGTCTGTCTCTCTCTCTCTCTCTCTCTCTCTCTCTCTCCCCCTCCCTCTCTTCCACTCTCTCTGAAAATCTCCTGGGTGAGGAGTAACAAAAGCCAAACAAACAAAACCTCCTGCTGAGACTCGCCTGCCTGAGTGCTTAAAGGAGGTGGGCAGGAGGCTGGTGGCAGTGTGTGAGCTGGGGCTGGGACAGGCTCCTGAACCATTTGTCCGTGATGGGTACCTGAGGCAAACCTACAGTAAAGGCACACTGCTTATGTCCTTACCTTTAAAGTTTTCGCCAGTTGTAAAGTCCTTTGTAAATGCTCTAAAATACTAAGAGGAAAAACATAGGACAAATGAGAAACAGCCTTGCCTGGGGTCTTGTCGATGTATTATCTTTAGCCAACCAATGAGCATTCAGGTACCCCAAAGTCACCTCCCCCCAGAAAGTCTGCTCGAAGCCCTGAGGCCCCAGAGGAGGAGCCAGAGGTTGTATCTGTGGATCTGAGGCCTCCTGCCAGGTGTACGGGGTGATTCGCACCCATCAGCATTGTTACTTACACGCTCCGACCCAACAGGGCAGAGCCACAGACAGCGCCTTCCCCGACCCTAAGGGTCTTACTCTAACGTCACAAAGGCTTCCGGGGAGGATGACAGGCACAAATGAGTATCTCTGAGCAGAAGAAAGCATTTTCTATTGAAAAGACACGTTGAAGACAGTTACGGACGGGAGCGGCATCGCCACACTCACAGCTGATCCTCTCGAAGGACAAGGGGCTCTGGAAACGAGTGGGAAACAGACACACGACCCAAAAGGAAGTGGGCAAACCCACGCGCAGACAGGTCACAGTGGGGTGTTCCGAGGACCACAACCAGACAGGCTCGTGGCCCCTGGTCAGCGGGAATGTCCTGGTGCAGCCCCCGCCCAGCAACACACTGCCAGGCCTGTGCCCAGAAGGCTCTCGCCCACATAAGGGGACATGTGCAAGTGTTGTCACAGCAGCCGGAGCAGAACAGCCAGGTGGCAGCAATGGAGGGACGGTGGAGTGTGCTCCAATAATGGGGTGACTGTCAGCAACGTCCTCTCAAGTAAGAGACTCGAAGCTTCCAGGCAGCACTGGGCCAAGTACGCAGCAAACAAACCCAAATGGGAGAATGTTGGGAGGGCCAGACTCGGCCGAGAGCCAGGGGCTGGGCCGCAGGGCTGGGCCGGGCACGGCCTGTGTGAGGCTTGTGAACATGTGGGGAAGGACGCGCTCTGGCACAAGCTTTAGGGCTAAGGGGAGGGGGCACGAAGCTCCCTCAGAGTGTGCCCTCCATTGTGATGCGCTCTCGCTCGTGTGCAGGCGTGTGACTGTGCATGTGTACACACGCACCCCATGTACATGGTTCTCTGCCTTCCAGTTAACCCTCTGCCCCTAGTGGGAGATGGGAACACATCTGTCTGGGGCCCACGTGGCGTGCTCAGGGTGGCCAGGCTGGTCGCCGTAGCAGGGGGTCCTGCAGGCACCCAGGGAAATGAGCATAGTGCACGAGGCATCAGCTCACGTGGGCCACACGTGGGTGGGGAAGTGCGGAGGCCCCACACCAGACTCTAGCAGCAGTCCCGACCACCCCACCCTCACCACACAGACCCCACAGCAATGTGCCCAACCCCAAGGGGGGACCAAAAAGGGACCCTCTGCAAGCAGGCACTCCACCACATCTACAGAAGCGCCCCATATGCTGGAGACGGAGGGGCTGCCTTTGGTGAACCCAGCTCAGACAGAAGGTCCAGCAGAGCCGCGAGGCAGGAGGGTGCTCACCCGGAAGCTGGGGTAGAAGTGGATGTCGTAGGTCTGGCACACCTCGTGGTTACTCTTATCCGCACAGTCCAGGGCAGCGACGCGGATGGCGGCGGCCCAGTCTGAAAAGCAGAGGCGAGACCTTCAGCGTGAGAGAGAAGCATGGACTGACTGCCTCCCGTATGTGCCCGGCTGGGACTGACCGGCCACCTGTTGTTGTACAGGACGACGCTCCAAAGAACTGTGCCACCGGCCAGGCTGAAATTTTTATTAAGGAAAACTCCCAACATCTGAATGAAATAGAGAGAACAATGCAGCCACATGTGCCCCTCTGTCAGTGCCAACGATGATCAGCTGCTGGAACCTTGTCCATCCAAAGGCCCCCCACTTCCAGAACTGTACCCGCCAGCTGCACTTCTAAAGGACAGGGCTCTGCACCCCCATCTGCCACTGCGTCATCACGGCGAGTTGTCACACGCTCCCCCAGCAGCAAGCACCCAGCGATGCACAGCTCCTAACCGTCTCGTCTTTGCTTAAACTGTTTGTTTGAATTGGGTCCAAACGAGGATGTTGGTTGGGACTGCGGATGTGTGCTGTCTTCTGTCCCCACTTGTCCTGCTTGTGGGAGGACGTGGGTCCTCTGCTTGCAGCCTCCCGCCAACTGGCCCCCTACCTCCGACTGTGTCCGACTGCGTCCAAGCTCCCACCAGCACACAATGACCCTGGCTGCCTCCCTTCGAACTGACCACCTGCATGCATGAATTCCCAAGGCTGCAGCCAGATGGGCACCTCAGTCCTGGCGCCTCGGTCCTCCTGCCTCCCTTGCAGGCGGAAGCTTCCGTGCAGTGGACACTATGCTCCCAGCGCCCTGAGGCCGGTTTCAAAGGAACGGTCCCCACATCCTCCAAAGGCTACTCGTGAGGTGTTCCCTGTACGAGGTCTTTCCCTGCTTCTCGGACGTTAAGATTGATTGCACCACCCATGACCCTTCCTGAACCTCCCTGGCTCCCTGCCTGCGGACGCCTGAGGAAGCAGGACCAGAGCCAGGGCGGCCTCTGCAGAGACAAGCGCAGGGCACGCAGTGGGGGCCGGGTGAGTCCTGCCGCCTTCTCCCGCAGCTGTGACTTCTGTGCAGGTCTCACAACTGCCTGTCACCGAGAGGCAGACGCTGCCCTGTGTGCACCGTCTAACAGGAATGTGGTTAAAAGCAGGTGAGTTCCCTGAGCTCTGATAGGACCTAAAACTGCAGCGGTTACATGAGAAACACGCCTAAGGAGAGAAAACACTGACCATCCCTAGATCCTACACAAACATGAAGGCCTGGATGTAACACCAATGAGTGACTGCTATTTTCACCCAATCTACCCCTTTTGCTTAAACAGGCATACTTTTTTTCTTCTGTAATTATAAAAAGTTAACCACCATTAATAAAACGCAACAGGTCAAGTAACAAGAACATCTAAGCTGTGTTTTCCACAACCAATGACTGAACATTCGAGCCTCAGAAACCAATTCCTGTCTCGAGGCCACGTGACCTGGGTGGGAGAGAAGTGCCAGGCCCTCCCGAACCGCAGGCCACCCCTCCAGGGGCTCGGGTCACAGGCCAGAGGAGGAGGTGATGCTCACGCAGACAGCAGAGATGGCTGTGCTGAGCAAGGCCGCGCCTCCTCTCCTCTCGGATGCTGCCTGCCCAGCCTGCCCTCCCACTCGTGTCACAAAGCATCCACGAGGTCCCAGCTCACAATACAGGGCCTCACTGTTGGTTGGGAATTTCCATGACACACTCACCGCTGCCCAGAGAGCGTTACGGAAAGGAAAGCGGCCAACACTGCACACGCAACACAGTCACAGGAAATGTCAGGCAGCCCAACAGCAGAAAGATGGCGGACACTCGGTGCTCGCGGGTGCTCACGCTCCGCGCCCGCACAGTGGGACTGGCCCTACCTTGTGATTCTCAGGTATTTCTTGGTGTGTTACTTAAGAAAGGAATGTGAAACCTGCTCCCGCAGGGTGCGCGTGGGGACCACACCCCAGGGCTGTGTGCATTTGCCCACTACGTTCTCCAGTTTCTAACCTCACAGCATTCCCAGAGCAGAGACTCCAGGTGCGCAAGTGTCCCGAGGCTGGGGGAACACTGCCCGACGAACTCTGAACACGGCCGGCCAGGTGGTGGCGGTGCTGCAGGAACGCTCCTGAGTCTGACAGCACGTGCCGGGTAGGACGGGCCGTCAGCCCTGCGTTCAACAACTTCGTCCCCTGAATGCAGAAGCCGGGGTGCAGAAGAGCCGGGTCCAGAACGGGAGGCTCCAGCACAGGCCTAGGCAGCGCACCCCCCCCCCCCCCCCGCTCCGGCCGCTCCCTCCTAC